TAATGGGCTATTCATTGAACTAAAGTAACACTTTTAAAGTTAACCTTTTTATATAAATTCAAAATGTTAATCCAAACATGCTCAGCAAGCAAACATTTTTGGCTTCTTGCAAAGCAATTCCAATTTTATTAAAGGACATGGAGGCTCATATTATGCTTATCTCTTTCTTTAATATACCTCAGCAGCAAAGAAAAAGACATTAAAAGAACAAACTAGAATAGGTACTCCAAGGGTTAACATAGTATGCTATCCTTAACCAATAGGAACAGTCCATGCATTCATAACCACCCATGTGACCTCTCTTCCTCTTTCTTTGCTGCTGCCTCAGCTAAGTATCATCTAATTTTAGCTCTCTGTTAATTGAGTTTAATTATTGTTGATTCTGTTGGAATATATAGATTTGAGGATATTGCTTTATATATGTATCATTGTATATTGACATTATATGTATATCATTGTATAGATTTAGTGACTTTAGGGATATAGTAAGAGTGTGACAGTTTCCCTGTATAGGGCTCTCTATAGGTATAGGAGTGGCAGCCCTGGTGTTTACTGGGGGCTTGTGCCCCTAGCGTCATATTAGTGGGCCTGCTTTTACCTCCGGTCCGGGAAACAGTGCCTTCCCTATTCCGCTGGGTAGTTTATTACCCGCACTCCGCTAGGCTTCTGTGTTCCCCCAGCTGTTATCCGCGGCGGCCATTGCCGGCGCGGACATTTTGATAGACGGTGGCCGAGCGCGCATGTGCATTCGCGGCCGCATAGCGCGGCAGCCATTTTCACTGAGGCGCCTGAGAAATTTTGCCGCTCTTTTACCCGGCGCTCCCAGCCCACTGAGGGACGGGAGCGCGCGGATTGGGTAGGTGCTATAGCTGTCAGCCTGCCAGTGTCCCTTTGCAGCCATTCTTGAGGGAACACTAGGTAAGCTGATAGCTTGTTTGTGCTTTGCCCTGTCACCTCAGTTTGCAGCAGTTTAAGCTGCCTTCAAGAGTAGATTACTTGGATAGTCTCCCTTATTATTATTAAAGTGCCAGTATTGTGTGCTGCAAACACAGCAGATATACTTAGATTGTTCCTTGGGTGGGGGCCAATATTATACTGCCACTTAAGTTAGTGCCACATATTGGAGCAGAGTATATATAAAATGCAGCACCCCAAGGAACAGGAACTTGCCACGTTGGCTGCGGGCAATAAGGATACCACACACCGTGGGTCTCAAGCCCCACACCCAGTCTCCCTTCAAGGGGAAGAGGTGGCGTCTGTGGAGCAACTGAACTCGGAGGAGTTCCATTCCCTCCTAGACGCGACCATGACTAAATCAGTCACTCAGGCCATCTACACAGCAATGGGGGCGATGTCAAATAACCTGACCCAATCCATCAACAACGCCATCATGGCGTCTGGCCACAACCCCAGAGGCCTCCGCTCCAAGGCCCAAGACGACAAGCCTGCCCCCCTCAGCGGTCGCAAGGCTACTGAAAAGACCCATCATATGGGCAAACAAATCTCCAAAACTATTTTTACGGACAGGTTGCGTCCTGTCACTGATGAGGACATGGGGCCCCCACGTAAGCGAGCCTCCCGCCGGGCAAAAACGGTGAGGGCATGGAAATGGGCTAAAGCCCAGACAGAAATATCCGACTCTGATTCGGACCAAGAGGAGGTGTTGAGCGAGCCAGAAGAGATGGGCTCGTTGGAATCGGAGAACTCTTCTCCGGAGCGCAGTTTAACTGGCAAAACCAGCCAACAAGGGCCAATGATTCGGTTATTCTAGATCCGCAAGGGGAGTCCCTATTTAATCCTGACGACCTTCAACACCCGAGGTCGACAGAATGGTTTCCTGCTGACCACATGGCCCAATATATAGCGGCCAGAATTAGGAAACCCCTGGACAAAGCCACAAGGAATAAGTTGAGGGCAGAATGCCCACGCCCGACAGTCCTGGATATGGCTTGTGCCACACCGGAACTGGACCCAAAAATTGCCCAATTTCTAGGAAAATCGGGCTGGAAGGCCAAGGAAGGGCTGGATTATTCCCTGCGCCACTGCCAGGATAAGGTGCTTGATACTTTGGGCCCAAGCGCAAAAATATTCGACATGGTCGAAGCTGCACTTTCAGGTGGCACACCAGTGGACCTCTTGGCTATCCGAGAGTGGGCACAGCGCTCTATTTGCCTTATTGGCAATTCCAATGCTGTGCTTTGTACAGAACGGCGCAAGGCAGTTCTCATGAAAATTGACCCGAAGCTGGTCAACATGGCCATGTCTGAGCCTGGACCGCAGGCAAAAGGCCTCCTTTTTGGAGACAATTTTGTCAAAGAGTTAGGCAATTATGTGACTACATTTACAGCCCTGGACAAGGCGCAAACAAACTTGAAGCGTGTGTTCGCCCCAAAGGTTTTTGGGGGGCCTGGCAGACAACGGGGCCGTCTGTCCAGCCGTTCATCAAGGGGCTCCTACCGGGGCTATCGAGGCTCCTCTACATCCAGATTCCCAAGTGGAAACCAGAAACCCCTCACCCTTCTTCCCTGTCAGGGGCAGGGAATGGCAACCCAGAAGACGCAGGGGCGCCACTTACGGCCGACGGCCTTATGGTGAGTACCTTTCCTGCTTCCCATTCTTGTACACCATATGTGGGGGGCAGACTATCCCATTTTATCGGGGCATGGAACAGGCTCACGTCCGATGCCTGGATTCTCAACACAGTGGTAGGGTACCACATAGAATTTGCTCAAACCCCAGTCCAAACCTCAGTCCCACGGCCAATGGTGTTTACCCCACAGGACAGGGAACTCGTGTCAAAGGAAATCAGAGCATTAAGGGAGAAAGGCGCAATTTATCAAGTCACACCTCACTCTCCAGGTTTCTTCAGCAACCTGTTTCTGATCCCCAAAAAGGGCGGGGGAGTGAGACCAGTGATAAACTTACGCCCACTCAATGCCTATGTGCGGTATCGCCACTTCAAAATGGAAGGGATCCATTGCCTGCGAGACCTCCTCAGGTTAGGGGACTGGATGGTCAAACTAGACCTGCAGGATGCCTATCTCGCCATCCCCATCGCGGACGAATGTCACCACTTCCTGCCGTTCCAATGGAAGGCACAGATGTGGAGGTTTCACTGCCTCCCTTTCGGCCTGTCATCGGCTCCATGGTGTTTTACGAAACTGTTGAAACCGGTGGTGGCGCTGCTATGCAGCAGAGGAGTACGCATGATCGTATATAACACCTATCTTGGGCAATAACACTTTTACGCAACCTAGGATTTCTAATCAACTGGGAGAAGTCGGTGCTGACCCCCTCGCAGTCCATAGAATTCCTAGGATTCACTATAGAAGCGGTCCAGGGAACCCTGAAATTACCGCAGGCGAAGATCAAAACCATCAAAAAGGAGATCCGCAGAACGTTAACTCGCCCAACGCTCACAGTGAGACAACTGGCCAGAATAATTGGACTCCTTTCAGCGTCCATTCAGGCATCTTCCCGGGACCTCTGCATTACAGGGCCCTACAGAGATTGAAAGCCGCTCAACTACGATCAGGTCAATCTTATTCAGACTCCGTGCAACTCGATCACACAGCCAAAGAGGAACTCAAGTGGTGGCTGCAACACATGGAAGCGTGGAATGGCAGAGCGATCTTTGGCACCGCTCCAGATTCCATAATAGAATCCGATGCCAGCACAAAGGGCTGGGGAGCGCGTTGTGGTCGTATTTCAACAGGTGGAAGATGGTCCCAATCGGAAAGGGCGCTACATATCAACAGCCTGGAACTTATGGCGGGAGCATTCGCACTGAAGAGCCTTTTAGGTGCCAAGACACATTGCTCCATTATATTAAGGATGGACAACATATCAGCAGTGCAATACATCAACCGCCTCGGCGGCACCAGGTCCAAAGTTCTAGCAGATTTAGCCACGGAATTCTGGCAATTTTGCCTGGACCGCAACATATCAGTATGGGCCAAATACATCCCAGGTCTCGCGAATATTGTAGCGGATTGGAATTCCAGGTATCTGTGGGATGCTAGCGATTGGTGTCTGAATCGCGAAGTATTCCTGCTATTGCAGGAACTGTGGGGCCCGCTGCACATGGATCTGTTTGCGTCTCGTTTGAATACGCACCTGCTGGAATTCTTCAGCTGGAGACCAGATCCGGAAGCAATAGCTACTATATGCGTTCCCTCCCTTCGCTTTGCTGGCACGAACGTTAGTACATCTCGACCGCTCTCGGACAACACTGGTCCTGATAACACCATTTTGGACAACGCAGCCATGGTTCCCTTCCCTCATGGAGATGTCTATAGACCTTCCCAGACTACTCCCCGAAGACCCACACCTTTTGTCAGATCCAGAAGGGAATTCACACCCACTGATGATGCAGGGACAACTCAGGCTGTTAGCGTGGCTCCTCTCGGGGGACCCTGGGTCGTACCGGAGATTCCACGGACAACGCTGGAATTATTGGCAGGAGCCTGGGCCCCAGGAACCAGGAGATCTTACAGTCGGGCATGGAACTCCTGGAGTGGTTGGTGCTTGGAACAACAAGTGGATCCTGTATGTGCTCCTGTAAACTACCTGCTACGCTACCTCACGCACTTATACGATCAAGGTTTAGCATACCGGACTATTAATGTCTATAGGTCAGGGATATCAGCCGGACATAAGGGCTTGGAAGGAGCACCAATAGGGAAGCACTTATTGGTGTGCAGACTATTACGTGGGGTGAGGTTTGCAAGAGCCCCACAACCCAGATATGCATCAATGTGGGACGTGAATTTAGTCTTAAATTTATTGGAACAATGGCCACAGAACTCTGACCTTACACTTAAGCAGCCATCAGCGAAACTGGCCATGCTCTTCTGTTTGATATCATGCAAAAGAGTATCCGATGTGAGGGCATTGGATGTGGATGCACGCTCGTTTACTCCATCGGGAGTGACTTTTAACATTACAAGACGGACAAAAACAACGATTTCTACAGTATCTTACCCAGCTTTTCCCCACAATACAAAATCTATGTCCAATAGCTTGTCTCAAAGAGTATGACAAACGGACGCAGGCATTTCGGGACCCTAGTCGGCATGAACTATTCCTGGCTATCAACACACCACATCAACCAGTATCGTCGGTTACTATAGCCCGATGGGTGAAATGGGTGATGACCTCCGCAAATATTGATACATCCATGTTTGGAGCACACTCCACTAGAGGAGCTATGGCGACTAAAGCATTTAATTTGGGATGCAAATTGGAAGACCTGTTGCGAACAGCGGATTGGTCATGAGAGTCCACGTTTAAAGAATACTATTTTCGCCCTACAGAACACATAACATCGTCAGTCATTGCTCAGCTTTGAACTAGCATAATATGAACCTCCGTGTCCTTTAATAAAATTACCAGATTTTACTAATTTCATGACATAAAGTCATGATTTTATAAAGGACACGGAGGCGAATATTAGCCCACCCGGTAAGTATCGCGAAGTTGACATGGTAAGTATCGCGAAGTTGTTACCAGAATAATGGGAAAAGATTTGAATTCCCACCCAGTAAGTTGTATTGCTAGGGTAAATATTGTGGGTTTGATATGGAGTTTAGTGAATGAGCATGATAGAGACATAAGACAGTAACTCCTACAGCAGGTCAGATGGTCTGTAGAGGTTTTCATGTATAATAAGAATTAACCCTCATGTATGTGACACACAGTCTCTAGACCACACATTACCATTTCTTTTCTCTCTCCTTTCAGCTTAATGAATTACAGTAGATGCAATGGATGATCGGGTTTCATCTCAGTTCAATTGGTTAAAGTTCATTGTTTGGTTATGAAGACGAAGTCGACACACCTGTTATGGTTCCAGTGTCTACGCAAGTTGATGAATTTAAGCTTCGGCAGGATCAAAGAAAGAAGGAGAAGAGAGGTCACATGGGTGGTTATGGATGCATGGACTGTTCCTATTGGTTAAGGATAGCATACTATGTTAACCCTTGGAGTACCTTTTCTAGTTTGTTCTTTTAATGTCTTATACCTTTTTCTTTGCTGCTGAGGTATATTAAAGAAAGAGATAAGCATAATATTCGCCTCCGTGTCCTTTATAAAATCATGACTTTACGTCATGAAATTAGTCAAATCTGGCAATTCTCAGGCACCTAGAAAAGTTTTCAGGGCTGTCCGACCTTGTATTCACGAAACAAATTACAAATGTGTATAAACGTCATCAGTACAAGTGTGTGAAAGTATTCAACTGACATAAAAAGGTAGATTACAGAATGCTAATACAATTCATACTCAAATTAACCAGTTTATACCCATATGCCCAAATCATCATGGGTGCATAAATAGATGTAATTGCAAAGACGTTTCCAAAAATTCAAGCGAAACACTTATTGCAATAAAATTGGCTGTTTCCCTTTGTACTTTCCTGGCTGTTTATAATGTTCTTAATGAAGTCACGGCACTTAACGTTCAGACATTCCTTAGGAAATGCTTGGGCTCTCTATACAGTATTATCTTGAGCAGAGGCAGCAGTTGCCGTAATCAAATCCATGTAAAATAAATAAAACATGTAATGGCGTTTCCCTTTCTATCACCCACTGGGTAATTTGTTCTGCTAGTGCTAAATGCATCAGTAACCCCTTTTAAATGAGCAAATGTAACAATAGCATACTGGCTTAAACAATTAACAGCCAGTTAGGACTCTATCTGTGGCTGTTATTTGTTAGCTCACCTTTTGCAGAAGTGACTGCTGGTAATTAAAAGTGCGAACAGAAGCTCCTG